AATCACTACCGAGATGGCCAGTTCCAGGAGATTCTTTACGAGTGATGACGATGCCCAACTGGTACTACAAGCCGCACCGAGAAAAGGGACTGTCAAATCCCTCGTGACAGCGCAGAAAAAAAAAGGCTACCGTATTGGGTGCCAACGGTGCTGTTAAAACTTACACACGTGAAGACGCCATGTTGGTTCAGCAGTGTGTAAGACGGAACGGGTTGCTGCTGCACTGGCGCAGGAGGGTGCGAGGACTTCTTCTTGCAGAGGGTACACACACCAGTACGCTTGTCATAATGTCAGCTTGTGACTTGCAAATCCGTGGGAGGCGCGCGTTTGAAAAGATAATTCACTTGCTCGGGCGAATCGCGGGGTGGCGCCTGCCATATTGAAATTTAACGGGGCAGCGCCGGTGATTAGCGCCGACGCCCGGCCGCCAACGAGGGGCAAGGGGGGAGTGCTTGGAGGCAAGGGCGAATCAGGGCGCCCCTCTTTCTGTCGAACCGATGCGGTCCTGCGGGCAAAGCGGGCTGGACGAAAGCTGGGCGCAGCAAAGAGGGGATTTGCTACTCCCTTCGTCGACGACGACGACGACGACGACGACGACGACGACGACGACGACGACGGGACGAGGACGAGGACGACGGACGGCGGACGGCAGATCGCAACGGCGGCGACGACGACGACGACGACGCACTGCGGATGCCCTATGGGAGGGGGGATGGGTGCTGCGCAGGCCCGCTGTAGCCGACGACGACGACGACGACGACGACGAAGACGACAAGAACGACGACGAAGAAGAAGAAGAAGGAGAAGACGACGACGACGCCCGAGACGGGGAACGAAAATTCGCCTCGGATGTGTACGACCCTTATAACAACTTCTATCCGAAATGCAGTCGTTGTGAGGCTGTCATGCAGGGGGGTGCGCGATCCCCTCGGCGGCGCCGGCGACGACACCCCTGGCGGGCGTGATTGAAGAAAGGTTTGGCGCCCCGCGGGGTCCACTCATCAGCCCCGGGGGGGGGGGGGGGAACCCTTTTTGAAGGGGCCCCAGGACACACAAATAAACACACACACAAATAACAGGATCCCCTATATTTTCCAATCTTTTCTGTGTTTTTTTTGTCTCCCCCCACACTTCCAATATTTTCCCTTATTTTCCTGGGAGTGGACGATGAATTGTGTCTGTGTGTGTGTGTGTTTTCCCCTCCTGGCTTTTGTGGATCACAGGCTGACACTACCAGGCGGGCAGGGGAGGGCGCGCCGAGCGCGCACGAGCCAGGGGCACGTGCCAGGAGGGCACGCCGCCACGAGGCACCCCGTCGAGACCTGGGCCCGGACCTGCGGCCACGGCGTCGAGAGCACGGCTTCGGCTTTGGGCAGAGGCCCAAGGCAGAGGGGCCCTGCACGTGAGCCTGCCAGGTGCCACCAGATCCCCGCAAAGCAGGCAGAAGGCTGACCTGGTCCCGTCCGCGCTCGCCTTTTCTGTTGGCGGCTCCCAGGCGAAGGTCAGGAAGCGGGGCATCGAACGGGGCGCGAAACGAAGATGATTAGCCGAAGAGGCGCATGCACATGCGGTGGGGGGGGGGGGGATGGTCCACGCTCGCCGACGATGATGCGCGAAGCCCGCGGGGTGCCGAGCAGTGCCACGTCCGGGAGGGGGTGGCGGGGTGGGAGAACGGAGCTTCCGATGCCGGAGTGGAGCAGCCGGGGGAGCGCAGAACAGAGAGACGCAGGCGCCAACCTGGTCAAAGGCGCTCTGCGCACAGACGGGGAGGCTCCGCCGTGTGTCCCACCAAGGGGTCGTCGACACGGAGGGGAAAACAGTCCCGGCGGCCAAAGATCCTCGGGGTCTGCGCGTTCTCCGCATGACCAAACATATCACCAAGCACCCTCTGGAACCGTTGTATCACTTGGTTTTCAAATGTGCACGCGCGGTTCCACCAGGTGAGCACAACGAGGAGACAGAACACACACTACGCGTACCGAGTCACATTAAGCTGCTGTGTATCATGAAGTTCGGCAGTCTCTCCGTCGAGCTCAGAACCGGACGGCTAAAGTGGCTGCACGGAGCTGTGGCAACACAGAAGAACCACCTTCAGGTTATCGCGGCGGCGGTCGGTCAGGCGCGGCGTGAGTCAGCCAGCCAAGAAGTATCTGGCGAGGGTGAGGTTCTTCCCTCGGCCCACGCTCGGACAAAACAATTCTGGAGTAATGTGCAAGCGCTGGTTGGAGTAGAGGGTCGGGAAGAACTGGAGTCCAAACTAGAAGGCAAGTTTGACAGTTTGTGTAAGAAGATGCTTTGGACACATTCCTGCAGATTGATGTTACGCGTCGAAGGTCCACAGAAATATCTGTAATGCGTCCACCACCGAGGCTGAGGCAGCCAGATCCGGAGCTTGACATGTGTGATACCCCATGTGAAGGGGGCTGTTCGGATTGTGTGTAGTGTGTAATGAGAACTACCAGAATAATATTAAAAAAACACATTGCACATAATTATCGCAGATGCGCTAAACAAAAATGAAAGAGGTCCCCTGCTGGATGCTTGCATGTCGTTCCGTGTTCCGAGCGCGGTCACACGTTCTAACAGTTGCCTGCTCTGCCCAAACACGCTTGCCGACGGAGAGACGGCATACGGTCATCTAGCCAGCAGCCCTCAAGCACAAGAGATGCATGATAGATTTCAGTTCGCGGACCCCTGCGCGTGTGGAGCACACATGTGCACAATGCACGCTCTGATGCTGTTGCTGCTCAGACGCCTGCCTCATTGGATCTAAACTTTCTGCAAGCACACCAATGAACCTATCTTGACACTCACATTCTCACACTCGATGTCGAAGTATCGTGCGGCAGTACAGGCGGTGGAACCTCAGGCCAGCTCGGAGTCCAAGAGAGGACGGAAGGACAAGACAGACACGGGAGAAGAAGCTCTTGCTGCAGATGGAGGCGAGGATGAGAGAACAAAGCAGCAGGAGATGTCTACTTCGAGTCCCTAGTAGGCCACCATATAGTTATAAGCATGCAGATGGCCACGGTAAAACGACAAGGCAGCCGACACACTCTCGGCAGCCCGCATCTTCATGCTTTCGCTCATCTCTTGGAGTCATTGACAGCCACAAACACAAACAGACATCACGAAGACATCAACGTATTGTTTCGCGCGTTGGCTGGGCTACACAAACACGTGGAGCAGGACAGTCTACCCAGCGAGATGGAGGACTTCGTGATTCGTGCGGGGTGGGCGACTACTGCACGAAGCAGGAAGCCCCACCGTTCAGCAGGATCAGCTTCGCGGTGGAGGAGCACTGGCCAATGAGACGCCCCTTCTCCGCAGGGTCGCGGCCCAAAGGCCCGGCCCGCGAGGCCGCGGATCCGGACATGTTGTGGCACACGGCCGACCGCAGGACTGGATAGCTGGGTGGCCACATGCGAACCCTACCCCACAACCCCACGATTCCTGAGGGGGGAGGGCGGGGTTCACTTCGCTCGGAAGGTCCCGAACGAAGTGAACCCCACCTCCCCCCGCGAACCCTACCCCACCTCCCCCCTCAGATATCCTGGGAAGGTGGGGTAAATTTCGCATGCGCCCTCCTAATCAATAGTTTAGGTCGGGCATGTCCTCCTACAAGCGGACTCTGGACGAAAAACGACAAATTATTAAAAAAGCTCAAATATGATTATAACAAATCCGCCGACCCTGTCGGCGTGTGGAAGAGGCTTCTCCGTCTGTTCCCTCTTCGTCGTCGTCGTCGTCGTTCCTTCCCCTTTCCCCACATCGTCGTTGCTTCTACCCCTCTCCCAGGGCCTCCTCCTGAAGCGTGCCAGTCCAAAGCGAAATTGAGCAACGTCGTAATTGAGTCGAAGGGAAGCCCCTTCCCTTTGATCCCTTCCCCGCCCGGGGGGGGGGGTCCCGGGGGGGGGTCCCAAGTTTTTACGCCGCCCCCCCGGGGAATCCCGGAGCCCAAAAAAGCCCCAAGACGGGCCAAGAGTGCCCAAAGAGGCCCCCAAGACGATCCAAGAGGGCCCCGAATCGCCGAATGATCTGTCCAAGACGCCTCGACGGCCTCCAGACGGCCCAAGAGGCCTGCGAGACGCCCCAAGAGGCCTCCAGGACCGTTCCCACGAGAGCCCCAAGAGGCAAAAATCATGGATTTCCAATATTTTTTTCAAGAATTTGGGCGTTCTCGCCTCTTCCGCTTCCCCACGCGCCAAGACGGCCCAAGAGGCCCCCAAGGTCGCCCCGAGACGGCCCAAGAGGCCTCCAAGAGAGTCCCCAAACGGCCCAAGAGTGCCCCAAGACGGCCCAAGACGCCTCCAAGACGGCACAGAGGCCCCCAAGACGGTTCCAAGAGCCCCAGATGGGGGACCCGAACGGACATTTCGAGCCCTCAGCCCCGAGAAGCCCCCAAGAGGCCCCCAGGAAGCCCAAAGAGGCCCCAAGAGGCTCCCAAGAGGCCCCCAAACATCCCCCCAGAGGCCCCCGAGAGCGCTCGGAAGAAACCCCAAGAAGCACGTTTGAGGACTCAACCCACGTCAGCATCGTCGTCGTCGCTACCGCCGCCGCCGCCGTCGTCGTTCCCCTTCAGGGTCGGCGGCACCGGCCGTAAGGCCTTCGCAATAGCCGAAGACTCGTCCCCTGACTATTTTTCGACTAGTCTTGAACATTCCTCCTGTAGAGGGACGCGCCCGATTTGATAATAGTTGCGCCGCCGCTCACACAAACCAAAAACCTCATTGCCTTCGGCCTCGCGGAGGGGGAAGGAATAGGGAAGTCTGCGGAGGCGGACCGGCACCGCTGCAGGGGGGCGTTTGCAGAGGGAACAGCGGCACCGTCACACAGTGGCGGCGGGCTCGCGCCATGACAACTCCAGCGCCGGCTTCTGACACCGCGTGGGTCGCTCCGCAGAAAAAAGCTCGAGCGCGGCTTTCCCGGAGCGGCTTCTGGCCCCCCACGATCGCGGCCTTCCCATAGCCCCAGACTTGCGACGTCCGGATTTTTCCCGTGCGCGGTGCCCGGGAGTCCCGACCCGTTCCCTGCGGCCCGTTGTCCATCCTGAGTCGTCCTGTCCAAGGTCCTGGGGCCCAGGCGAGGGCCCCTGGACACCGAAAAAATGGCGAGACGCCTCCCGCCCTGACTTCTGCCACGACGCGCACACGTCTGGGGCGGCGTGCGCTTCCAGCGCCAGCCTCTGACCGCGAGAGATCGCGGCGCTCCCACACTGACCAGCCTCGAACGTATCCCTATCCCTAAGATGGGCGAGCAAAAAGCGAGGACAATCTTAGGGATAGGCCCTCAAAAACTCAGGGAATCCTTAAGATCGGCATCGAGGTGAGGTGATGTCAAACATAGGGATAGGGATATGTTTCAAACTGGTAACATACCGCGGCACGGTCGACGTCGACCGCCGCGGGGCCGGCGCCAGCAGTCCAAAAGCTCGAGCGCCCGCGCAGGAGCCGCCGCCGCGCAAGAGCGCGGGGCGAGCCCGGCGGCACGCGGGGCAGAAGAGCAGCGAGCCCCCGGGAAGGGGGCGGGTCCCCTTGAGTCTCGCTCTGGATGCCACGACCTCCACCAGAGGCCTCCCAGATGGGGTCGGAGTGGACGGGGTCGGAGGATCGCATCGCATCGCCGACACATCGGCGATGAGTCGCCGAGGCATCGGCGACGCCTCGGCGATGCACAGGCGATGCATCGGCGACTCCAGCGTGGAGAGAAAATCGGGCTCCGCAGCGAACCGCATCGCCGATGCATCGCCGATGCGACGCCATCCTCCGACCCCATCTGCTCGGACCCCATCCAGGAGGCCTAGATCCGCGTCCCAGTCAGATTTCACCGCCTGGGGCCACGTCGAGTACTCCAGATTTCGTGATAAAGGGAGGGGGGTCTCATTTCGGGGGGGGGTCTCTTCCAGGCTATCTTGGAGGGCCTGGGGGGGTCTGGGGACGATGTTTTGGAGGGCTCTCCCACGGGGGAGGTCTGAAATGGCTTGTCTTGGAGGGTCCAGACCCCCTGCCTTTTATTACGAAATCTGGAGTATACGAGAACCACGCCCCAGGGAAGATGAGTGCTGTACCGAGCCCACGACCGGGACACCTTCGCCCACCCTCCAGGGCTCTTGGGCGGAGTCGAGAGCTCTGGGGGCCCTTTGGAGCAGAAGGACGCGCGGGGGAGTGGGCAGGAGGGGCAGGGAGCCCGCCAGGATCTCCGACGAGATGATTCTCTCGGTCAGGCCGTGTTTCGTCGAGTTCGATTCCTGGGCTACGTACCCTGACCTTCCAGAGAGCTATTTTTTAGCACTGGAGACCTAAAAACCTAAAAAACGAGACGAAACCGCCTAAAACTAAGACGTAGAATAGCTCTGGGATAGGTTTTTAAGTCGCGTGCTATTTTTTAGCCCTCCTGGAAGGTCAGGGTAGTCGGGCCCTGGGACGGTCACAAATGCATGCGGGGCGAAAAAACTTGCCCGGGGGGAGGGGTCGGGACCTCTTGGGCCGCGCATGGAACAAGATCATCTCGTCAAATGTCTAGGGAAGTACGAGCGATCCGTCAGGAGGGGTAGGCGGACCACGGGGACGACAGTGTGAACGAGCAGCAGGCGGAGAAGGAGGATCGGCAGGAGGAGACAGAGCATGTGCCGACAGGGACAGCAATGCGGCATGCAGGTGGGGATGAGGAAGAAGAGGAAGAGGCGAGAGGAGACTGAGGAGAAAGGGAGCGACGTGGATGCGTGACACATCAATCGTCGAACAAAACATCAACAGTCACATACTGCCAACATCCACGCCACACCGAATGTGATGAACCCAAGCATCTGGCAGTGAAGCTACAGCGTATGGTAGGTTTCTGTTATCCTGGCGGACGCAGTGGGAGCATCTAGACAAGGCATATCAGCGGAGCATTGATATACTGCTGGTGGGCAGGCTGAATGTGGACGTGACACACCCCTGGTGACCCTCGGAGCGCGACGCATGCAACACACAACGAAACGATGACTGGCGCAACACGGAGAACCGCCTACCAACGGGATGCAGTGAAGAGCAAGAGAGCGAAACATGTGCAAGAGCCCACTTTTGCGCACCGACCTTTCTGCGCTGCCCATTGGCGGCCCAGTCCTCAAAACTTTTCCAGCAGCTTGTTCAGGTCGGGCAGCTGGTCGGCGAACCTGTCTTGTCTCTCGACCCCGATAAGTCGCGTATCACGATCGTCGAGGAACAACGAGAAAACATAACCATACACTTCGGGAGCTCCGCCCAGACTTTTGAATATCGGGGCTGGATCCTCGCGCCAGGGGAAGGCGCCAGGGGGGTCCAGGGCAGCTCCAAGACATCCGCGCGGACCTCCGAACAAACGTCTACGTTTATGCAGTTTCGTGCCGACCAGGATCCCGAGGCGAATCCAGCTGTGGGGACGAGGACCTCCAAGGAGGCCCAAAAAGACCAAAACGAGGCAATGGAGACGGCATCGGTGCCTCATCCTCCTCTGAATGAACCTGTCTTGTCTCTCGTCTCCCCACACGTCGCGGATCACGATCGAGATGTCGACCACCGTCCGCCTCAAGAGGCCCGATGCCGCCCGCACCTCCGTCACGTCCCTCTTGCGGCCTCCTCCCAGGGCCTCCGCTGCGACCGCCTGCGCGCTGGCGTAGCTGAACAGGGCCTCCGTCAGAACCTGGATGTTCTGCACATCTGCCTCCAGGAAGGCGTAGAGCCGCCGCCTCCTCCGGGGCAGAAGCACATCCGCACAGGACGACGGGCGATGGCCGCAGACTCCCTCGGCGGGTGGCGCAGCGGCTCCCACGTTTCAGGGACATCTGCACAAGCTTAGTCTGCTCCAGCGTGTGGCATTTCGGGGCAACCGAACAGGCTAGAATTGGCCGGCGTGCACGAGGGGGGGAGAGAAAGACGCGAGCGGCTGCGCGGGGGGAGAGGGGGAGGGGAGAGCAAGCGCTCCAGCGTGCGGCATTTCGGGGCACCCGAAAGGCTGGAATTGGCCGGCGTGCACGAGGGGGGGAGAGAAAGACGCGAGCGGCCGCGTGGGGGGCGATGGGGAGGGAGAGCGCTCAGACGTTCTACGAGCTCCGCGTCGAGCGGGCTACATCTGCAGAAAAGCATGCGCTCTCGGAGATCCGCGCGGATCTCTCGGCGGAGCGCTGGACTCGCCCCCCCGAGGCGGCGCCAGGCGGCGCCGCCTCGGGGAGGCCCCGGGGGGGGCCCAGCGCCATGGATCCGAGCAATGCGGGCAGGCCTCCGGGAGTTTACTCTGGGTTTCTAATAAGCGTGGGGGTGTACCCCCCCGTCGGGGGTCAACCTCGCCTCGTCGTCGCGCCCCGACGGGGGTCGGAGCGCCTTCAGCGCGCGGTGGCTGCCCGCCACGAGGATCGATGTGGGGCTGTCGGCGAGGGTGCCCCCCCGACGCTGATTGAGAAACTCGGAGCACAGTGGAGGCAAGTCCACAAGAAACCTCCCACTAGAAAGCCAACCCTGAGACCCCATGGCGTCCATTGTTTTTGGTGTGGGGACGTCACGCTTCCCATGGCAGAAACATCGACACCCGAGAAACCTGGGACACCCTGGAGGCAAGCAGGGCGGTTTTTGGCACGAGACTCCACTGCAGTTCTGCTGCAGGCCGATTGGTGGCCCCCCAGCTCCTGTCTGTCATGCTCGACGTGCCCATCACATCCTCCAGGACCTGGCCAGCTGGGGGAGCTGCGTTCCCTAGAACATGGCTGGGATCAGGATAAATCGCTCCAGGGCGTTCCGGAGCGCTCTCAGAGCGTTCCGGAACGCTCTGGAGCGGCCGCGGCGCCCAATACATCCTCCAAACCCGCCGATCCTCAGAGATTTCGAGTTATCCCGATCCGATTTTGTCCCGATCTTCGCGTCGTTTGATGCCCCGCCCCACGCGGGGAACCCATCGTGTCGACGCTCGCTCGAGGGGTGCCGAGACCCGTGGGCTCCCCAGGGGGGCACCCGGCCGCGCGGGCCTCCCCTCCGCGTGCCGCGCCGACGGCCCAGGCGCCACGCTGCGCCCTGCGAGGGGATGGCGTGCCGCCCTCCGCGCTCCGCGGGGCGGCGAGCCCGGGAGCAGCCCGGGATGTGGACGCTCGGGGATCCTCCTCCTCCTCCTCCTCCTCCTCCTCCTCCTCCTCCTCCTCCTCCTCCTCCTCCTCCCCCTCCTCCTCCTCCTCCTGCTCCTCCTCCTCCTCCTGCTCCTCCTCCTCCCCTCCTCCTCCTGCTCCTCCTCCTCCTCCTCCTCCTCCTCCTCCTCCTCCTCCTCCTCCTCCTCCTCCTCCTCCTCCTCCTCCTCCTCCTCTCCTCCTCCTCCTCCTCCTCCTCCTCCTCCTCCTCCCTCCTCCTCCTCCTCCTCCTCCTCCGCCTCCGCCTCCTCCTCCTCCTCCTCCTCTCCTCCTCCTCCTCCTCCTCCTCCTCCTCCTCCTCCTCCTCCTCCTCCTCCTCCTCCTCCTCCTCCTCTCCTCCTCCTCCTCCTCCTCCTCCTCCTCCTCTCCTCCTCCTCCTCCTCCTCCCCCTCCCCCTCCTCCTCCTCCTCCTCCTCCTCCTCCTCCTCCTCCTCCTCCTCCTCCTCCTCCTCCTCCTCCTCCTCCTCCTCCGTGTACTCGGAAGAAGCGGCGGCCTCGGACGGTCCCCGCCGCAGAGGAGGATGTGAGCAGCGCACAGCGCGTGGCTCCCCGAGCGTGGCTGGCCAGAACCGGTGGCGCGACACGCGGGTGGACCTCGGGCATCCTCGGAGCTGCTGTGCCAACCCGCGGCCACAGAGCTCCCGACACCCTCCCTGGGGCCAGGCTTTCGCCCCGGATCCACGCGTGATGGCCCAACCTGGGAGGCAGGCCCAGGCTGGACGAGTCACATCGCTGGAGTGACCAAGAGTGTCCGACGGTAACGACCACCGCCCCGCCAAGTGCGGGCAAGAGCTGTACCCATCTCCGCTGCGGCTGGGCTTGCTGGGAGGGGACGCCAAGATCCTGGGGCGCAGTGGGTGTGGATAACAAAGGAACCGCAGGGGCCAGATTCGTATCCATATCCACTGCGCCTCGGGTGTCTGGGGAAGGGGGCCCGAAGCTCCAAGATGCATTGGATATGGATTTGCGAGAGGCATACATTCTCGAAGTCGACGTTGGTGCCCACAGGTTCGAGCGGGAAACACGAAGGTTGGGGTCCCCTCCGGGGCCCCAAATCCAGCCGAAATCGACGCATTCCCTCAAAGCGCCGACCGCGACATCCCGAATTTGACTTCAATCGATCGAAATCTTGACCAGCGAACACACACACACACATCTTGCCCGCACCACGTTGCTGACTGCCTACCAGACCACCCCAACCCAACCCGAAGACCCAAATTTCGGGTTGGGGTGGTACGGGTTCCGCAGGTGTTTTTGCCCAAAGTTCCCCGACGCAACCGAACTGGGATTGGAGGGCAAATTGGAGCCTTCGGGTTTAGAGGCCTCCCAGATAAGGTCCGAGTAGACGGGGTCGGAGGATCGTGCCGCATCGCCAACGCATCGGCGATGCATCGGTGATGCCTCGGCGGCGTCGGAAATGCATCGCCAACAACGGCGTGGAGGTAATCGGGCTCCGCATCAAGCCGCATCGGCAATGCACCGTCGATGCGGCGCAATCCTCCGTTCCCATCTGCTCGGACCCCATCTAGGAGGCCTAGCATTAGGTCGGTCATGTCCTCCTACAGGCGGACATGGGGGGAAACAAAAGATTGCCTACAACAAATGTTCAAACACCTGTTCAGCGATAGTCGACAAGTCATCCCCAGACTTTTGTTTACTTTTGCTACGTTTTAACCTTCCTCCTGTAGAGGGACATGCCCGACTTACGCCTAGACAGTTGGGGTATTCGGGTTGGCTTGGGGTAGTTTGGTGCTCCCATCGTACTTACGGACCAGATCCCAAAAAACAATTCCGAGCACCAAAAAAAGCATCGAACCGGTGTCGAACGAGTCTCGCCTCCCAGAGCCCGACGCGTGACAACCATTCAGTTTCGGCACGTCCTTGGTGCTCGAAATTATTCCTGGTGGTTCGGGCTAAAAAGGTAGGCTGGAACGTCAGAAGGCTTGGGGCAATTTGGTGCGTGGTGGGTCACGGCTTGAGCAGGGACCGACCGTCTCGGCATTCCCACAGTCCCACCACGAAATGTTCTTAGAACCCAAAAATGTTCTAAGAACAAAAACCAGTGTTCTCAGAACGCGAACCCGACGTGCTACAACACGACAGCCTCCACCAGAACTGTTCCAAGAACATTCCGTGGAAACCACGAAAAAGGTTCTCAGGACATTCTCTGGTGGGCCTATAGGCGAGCCTGGACGCTTCGCCTCTGCTTGAGCGGCCGCCCCGGCCTGCAGCCCGGGCGAGCCCTCCCGCTCCGCGCCCGGCCGCGTCAGCGCGCCCGCGGCGACCCCCGCGCCCCCCCCGCGCCCGGCCGCTCCCTCGCGGCCCGCCGCGCGCGGGACCGGCCACCGCTGGCCTGAGCAGAGAAGTGCACAAGCGAACCCTCCCCAGAGATCCAACGTATTGAAGAAATCAAGACGGAGTTTTTTCGCAAGGGGCCCTCGCCAGGCCTCGGGACCGTCAAAAAACGACTCAGGATGAAAAACCGCTCCTGGGGAATGGGTCGAAACTTCCGGGGACCGCGCATTGAAAAAATCACGACATCGGATCTCTGGGTCGGGGGCGCGCAAAAACATGGATCAGCGATCCATGGATTTGGCGCGCAGTCGCCGAGTCTATGGATCAGGGGAGGTGCCCTCCCCAGAAGCGCGGCCGGTGCCGCCCCGCTCGGCGGTGGAACTCCGCGATTCCCTTTATGGAAAGGAGGCCCGTCGCTAATCCACGCCCCCTTGATCCATGTTTGCGATCGCCTGAATATGCAAACCCCTCAGTCGTGGTCCTTGTCTTAGGTCGGGCATGTGCCCCCACAGGCAGATTGTGGACGGAAAAATAAACATGTTTAAAACACACACAGACATACACACACACCCAAAATGCTACAACAAATGATCGAAAAATCGTCCCCAGACTGTTTTAAACTAATGTTTGAATACTCCTACTGTCATGGGACATGCCCGACTCAATCCTTGTCAGCGCTCGGACGTCCATTCCCCGTGCATGTTTCAGTTCCGGACGTGCATTCTTGTTGCCAGACAATCTAGCCAGGATGCTCCTCCATGGTCCTCGCCGGGGGAAAAAGGGCACACACGTCCGAGCGATACCAAGGATCTCCGCGACCTGTGGGGGGGCGAGGAACGAGACCGGTTCGCAGAAGAGGAAGACTTTGAAGGGAAACTGGGACACACAAATAAATGCACACAAATAAAGATATCCCCTTTCCCCATATTTTTGGGGGTTCTGTCTTCCCCCCCACTTCCCATATTTTCCCATATTTTCTGGGAATCGACGATAAATTTTGTCTGTGTGTTTTTGTTCCCTCCTGAGACATGCTGCCACCGCCTCCCTCGCTCTGGCCCTCCTGGGCCTCCCGGGAGGCCCGCGCGCGCTGCCCCTTGGCGGCCCTGCCTGCCCAAAACCTGCGCAGCCCAGGTCGGGCAGCCGGTTGCAGAACCTGCCTTACCTCCCACCCCCCGCAAGCGGAGGTCGCGGTTCACCATCGTCGGGGAACACACAAAGGCATGACCATACAGTCGGGGCCCTGAAGAAGGAACCCTTTTCGTGGGGGAGGGGCTCCGCATTCCTTAAGTGTTTCACAGCTTGCCTCATGTTTTCCTTATGTTTCCGATCGGAAATCGAAGTTTAACTGATGGAAAAAAAGGGGCCTCGTTCCTTATTCAGGGTTCCTTAGGTCAACGCCCCGACCATACATACACTTCTAGAGGCCCTAGCTCGTGTCTCGGGTCGGCGCTGACCTCCCTGGCGCGCGGAGCGCGCCAGGGGCAGCGCCGGAGGCGCCGCCCCCGGGGGGGCCAGCGCAGATCCTAAAAAGTCCGCGCGGACCTCCGATGATTCATATGTTTATGCCAGCTTCCTTCCTCGAGAACCTCGGGTCGGGCGAAACGGGGGGGATAGCAAAGGGGGGGTTTGAGAATCAGCTCACGTAGCTGATCTTCCCGGCGCCTCCCGGCGCCAGAGGCGGCTATGTATCGAGGAATGGGCCCCTCGGTGAGGCCGAAACCAGCTGCATGCAGCACATTTCGTAACCCCCCCTTTCCCAATCCCCCCCTTTCGTCGGGCCCGAGAACCTGCTGCTCCCCCGACCTCTCCTGGGGCACAATCCGATCCGGATCTCGAGGCGAATCCAGCCTTGGCCACGCGAACCCCCACAAAGCCCCCCCCAAAGCGAAGGAAGGACCGCGGCGCCGTTTCCTTGCCCGGGCTCCGGCGACCGCTCGGGGACGATCTGGGCACCCCTGGAATTATGTCGGGCGCGTCCCCCTACAGGACGAAAAATAAACACATACCCCAAAAATACCCCAAGAAGGCCAAAAAATACTACAAAGATAATCCCCAGACTGTGTTTATCCCCAGACTGTGTTTGGATTATTTGTTTGCTATGTTGGTGTTTTTTTATTTTTCGTCGAAAATCCCCCTGTAGGGGGACACGCCCGACTTAACCCTGGAACGCTCTCGGCGAGGCGCGGCTGCTGGAAGGCACCCCGAGGCTGAAAAGCCGCCGAGAACCCACAGAGACGCCCGTTCTGACCAGGATTTCGAGTCGCATCCGGCCGCGGCGACGAGGGCCTCCCGGGACGCCAGAAAAAAGCCGACGCGAGGCAAGGGAGGCGGCATCGTCACGAACACCTCGCTCCCCCCAAACAGCTCGACCCCCCTGGCCTTAGGTCGGGCACGTTTTCCTACAGGGGGATTTGAAACGAAAAATTCGTTTAAAATGTCAAAAAAATTCCCCCCGTGTCAAACATAGTCAAAAAATAATATCCCGAGAATTGTTTTATTATTTCCGAATACTCCTCCCGTAGAGGGACATGCCCGACTTAACCCTGGCCAGGCTATTCTTCCCTCTTCGCTGGCCAGGCGCGGGCGCGGCCCACCTGGGCGGCGCGCACACGGGGGCATAGGGCGGGAAGGCTTCTCAGAGGGAGGCCGCCTTGATTGAAGGCGGCGGCCTTACATCTGTAGGTGCCCTGACCCCCTCGCGCTGTGGACAAAAAAAAAACGACGGGAGGTTTTCGCCATTTTCGGCCTCCGGGGGCCCTTGCCAGGCCTCGGGACCGTGAAAAAACGGCTCAAGAGGGAAAACCAGTCCCGGGGAAGTGGTCGAGACCTCTGGGGGTCGACGTTGTCAAAAAATCACGACGTCGGGGGTCTGGTTGAGGCCCGCGCCTTCTGAGAAGCAGCCGCCTCCTTCTAAGAAACAGCCTTCCCAAACATCCGGCCCCTCCGATTTTGTTCGATGCGTGGGCTCCGGAGGTCTGGACCACTTTCCGAGTCGTTTTTTGACGGTCCCGAGGCCTGGGCCTCGGACGCTAAACAACTGACAAAAACCGGCCGCGCCAACTTCTTCGGAGCGTCGGATGTCTGGGCTCCATTCTCCCCCATTAACCCCCTTGAGATGCCTCTTAGATGGGATCGGAGTAGATGGGGTCGAGGGATCGCGCGGCATCGCCGATACATCGGCGACGCATCGGCGACGCACTGGCGATGCATCTTCGACGTGAGATCGGCGACGTCGACGTGAGGCAAACCAGGCTCCACATCGAGCCGCATCGGCGATGCGACGCGAACCTCTGACCCCATACACTCCGACCCCATCTGGGGGGCCTAGGAGCCTGTCGTTTTATGGTTCGCGATAGCGGGCGTGATCAAGGGAAGGGGGGTGGAGTTCGTGCCCCCCGATCGCATCACGGCAGGGGGCCGCCCGAACTCCGAGGAAATCCTCGAAGAATCCGTAGGCAAGGGGGGTGGAGTTCGTGCCCCCCGATCGCATCACGGCAGGGGGCCGCCCGAACTCCGAGGACATCCTCGAAGAATCCGTGGGGAACCTTTGCAGCTGTGGGCAAGGTAGCGTGTTGTGAGCTGGAGGCGGGGGGGGGAGGCAGGGAGCCGATCACGGCCGCCATCGCCCAGACCTCACAAAAAAACAGGCTCCAACCCTGACCTTCCAGAGAGCTCTTTTTTAGCACTGGAAACCTAAAAACCTAAAAAACAAAACGAAACAGCCTAAAACCAAGACGTAGAATAGCTCTGGGATAGGTTTGTAAGTCGCGTGCTACTTTTTAGCCCTCCTGGAAGGTCAGGGAAATCCTTGCGCGAGTCCCTGAGACCCGACGCCGCGACGAAAACTACAACATCGCAAAACAAATCACGACCGGAGCCGTGGACCCCACATCTTCCAGCGTCACTTCTCGAGCCAGATCGATCTGCGAGGGTCCGGGGGGCCCGAAACGGAGCGAAAACGCCCGTCGTGAAAAAATTGCAACCCAAAGCCCCCGAAGTCGTGTTTTGTTTAACACGTCGACCCCGATGGGTCTCGACCTCTCCCCTGGGACCGGCTTCTCCTCATGAATCGTCTCTTGACGCCCCCGAGGCCCGGGAAGGGCCCCCCGAGGCCGAAATTCGACGGTGGACAAACCTCCCATAGTAAACCATCCTTGAGTGAAAACGGCCCCGGACCGAAACCGACGGACCTGGACCCGCAAAGATGACGGCCGAAATGCCCTTTCGCGAACCGAAAGCGGCCAATTCGCTAATCGAGGCGTCAGGGTAGAAGGCCTACCAACCTACAAAAAGGGTGGACCCCCCCGTCGTGATTTTCGTTGCGTTTTTTTGGAGTCCCTAAACGGTGCGGTGACAGACCGTGCGGTGACTTCAAAATTCCCCAAGACCTCACCGCACGGTCCGTCACCGCACGGTCTGGGGACCCTGGAGGCCCCTGTCGCCCGATACATCCTCGGAGCACGACGCGAGCCCCAAAACCGTGCGGTGAGCCCGAATCCCCACCGACTCACTGCACGGTGTGGTCACCACTCCGTTTGTCGGCTGCACGCAAGAGTGACCCTGGATAAGAGTGACCTTTGGTGCGCGGCTTTTGGGGGGGCCGCGGGGGGACCGAGCACAGCCGCGCAAGACGCTGCTGCCGCATCGCGCTCGGCGGCCGGGGGACCCCCTTGGGCCCGCACCAAAGGTCACTCCGGCAAAAGGTCACTCTTACGTCTAGTCGAGTTTGGGCCCCCCCGATAAAACAGGGCTAGGATCGGGATAAATCGCTCCAGAGCGTCCCGGAGCGCTCTCAGAGCGTTCCGGAACGCTCTGGAGCGGCCGCGGCGCGCCCAATACATCTTCCAAACCCGCCGATTCTCAGAGATTTCGAGTTATCCCGATCCGATTTTGTCCCGATCTTCGCGTCGTTTTAGTTTGGGGTCGCCGGGATCTCGGGGCGCGGCCGGCCACCGCGCGGGCGCCGCGAAGGCGCCGGGCGCCGCGGGGCCGCCCGGCAGCAGGCGGGCCGCGGCCAGCAGCAGGCAGGCCGCGGCCGGGCGCCCGGCGCCGCGCGGGGGGGCCATGCTCGCCGTCGAGGAGGGTCGGGTCGGGCGTGTCCGTGGGAAAAAAAACAATGGGAGAAAACACACGCTGTGGGGAAAAACACACTCTGTCGGAACACACACACACACACACACACGCACGCACGCACGCACGCACGCACGCACGCACGCACACTCACACACACACACATACACACACCCACACACTGTGGGAAACAACACACACACGCTATGGGAAAAAAAACACACTGTGGGAAAAACGCACAGACAGTGTGTGTTTGGGTCCCACAGACTGTGTGTTTTTGCGTGTGTTGTTGAACGTTTGTCCCACAGACTACAGGAGGAATGTTCAAAATTAGATTCAAAGATAGTCAGAAAATAATCTGGGCACGATTGTTTGACCACTGGTTGCCTATGTTTGAACATGTTTTGGCTATTGTTCTATGTCTTTCGTCCAAAATCCCCCTGTAGGAGGACACGCCCGACCTAAGAGTAGGGGGTCGACTACAGAATTGACCCTTTTCCCCCAGACATGTCCCTCGCCGATCGGCCCCGAATATGAGGAAAAGCCGTAACACTGTCAGTAGACCTATGGAGCACTGTAAGTACTCTGGGTTTCTTGATAAGCGCGGGAGGGTACCCCCCCGACGGGGGTCAACCTCGCCTCGTCGTCGCGCCGCGACGGGGGTCGGAGCGCCTTCGGCGCGCGGTGGCTGCCCGCGACGGGGGTCGGTGTGGGGCTGTCGGCGGGGGTGACGCCCCCCCCCCCCCGACGCTTATTGAGAAATTCGGAGTACAGTCGGGGCGCTGAAGAAGGAACCCTTCTCGTTGGGGAGGGGCCCAGTGTTCCTTGATTGTGTCAAAGTTTGCCTCGGGTTTTCCTCATGTTTTCCATGGGAAATCGAGGTTGAGCGTATGGAAAAAAGGGGCCTCGTTCCTTATGTAGGGTTCCTTAGGTCAACGCCTCGACTGTAGGCATGTTTCGTAGACTCGACGGGGGATCCAAACTCTGAGGTGCAGCGGGTCCGCAGCCGAGTCGACTCCCCTACTCGACGCCGGCGCCCGCGCGGCGAGCCTGCGCGGCCGGGCCTGCGAGCGGCCGGGCCCCCGCGGAGCGCGGCCGCGTGGGCTCGGGCCGAGAGGCCGCCGCGGAGAGCTCGCAGCTCAGGGGAGCCTCCCATACCATCTGGTCGGCTCCTGCGAATCAGCGCTCGTCGGCGCTGAATCCAGCGTTGCATCGGTGCTGAATCGACGCTGATCGACGCTACTGTTATGTCGGGCGTGTCCCCCTACTGGGGGACTTTCGACCTAACATTTTTTAAATACCCCAGACATGTTAATTAAAAGTTTTTTAAAAATGCTCAAAAATAGTCCCCATACTATTTTTGTGCAATGTTTTGATTATTTTGGAGGGTATTTTTGATTTTTCGTCGAAAATTCCCCTGTAGGCGGACAGGCCCGACGTAACGCTACTGCCGATGCCAGATCGGCGCGATCTCATCAACTCCCAAGCGCTCATCGACGCCAATCGACGGATAGACAACTGCGAGGGTGCACGAGGCTCCCGTGATCTGCTACCGAAACAGAGGGGCCAGAGCGATCCGATGCTCCGGAAAAAAGCTGGAGCGCGGCCGCCTTTGGCCGTCGTCGGCCTCCGGGGGCCCGCGCCGAGCCCCGGGGCGGCCGCGGGGGCTCGGGCCGAGAGGCCGCCGCGCAGAGCGAGGACGTCTCGCGCGGGCTCTCCGCCGACACCGAGGCCCTGGCGTCTCCGCTTTTTTCTGTTGAGCCGGGCGCTTTCGTCCGGCGTCGGGCCCGGGGGCCCTCACGAAGGTGAAGTCGGGCGTGTCCCCCTGCAGGAGCATCTTCGGCGAATGGTAGAAAAGACGCAACAAATTCTCCCAAATGGTCAAAAAAATACTGAAAAAAAAAAGTCCCCAGACGATTCCTTGACTATTTCTGTGCATCCCCCCTGTGGAGGGACAGGCCCGACGTAGCACGAAGGCCGACGCGGCTCGAGGAGGGGCGCGGGAGGCGGGGGTCCGGGGCCCCGCCCGTCGTGGCCGAGAGCGACGGCTCAGCATGCTCGCGCCGTCGGGGATCTCAGGGGGGGACGTGTCGGCAAGGGGCGGCAGGGGAAGGAGGAGGAGGAGGGGGAGGAGGAGGGAGGAGGAGGAGGAGGAGGAGGAGGAGGAGGAGGGAGGAGGAGGGGGAGGAGGAGGAGGAGGAGGAGGAGGGGGAGGGGGACAAGCTATGTGCGCTCGCGCCATATCTGACGTCCTACCCCTCCCTCCCATCCCTTACCATGGCGCTGATTTTCTCTATCCGCGGACGCGTGTCGTAGCGGACCTGTGGCTCCGCGCGCGCGTGCGTAGTGGGTGGTGGTGCGCGTGCGTGCGTGCGTGTGTGCGTGGTTGTCGTTATGGTTGTGGTTTTGGTTGTGGTTGTGGTGGTGGTGGTGGTGGTGGTGGTGGTGGTGGTGGCGGTGGCGGTGGTGGTGTGTGTGTGTGCGCGTGTGCGCGTGTGCTGTGGTGTGACGTGGTGTGGCGTCTTGGTGGTTTAGTGGTGGGCCAGGTGCGTGCGTGCATGATGGCGGTGGTGGTGGTGGTGGCGGTGGTGGTGGTGTGTGTGCGTGTGTGTGTGTGTGTGTGCGTGTGTATGTATGTATGTATGTATGTATG